TGTGTATGTGTGTGTATTTGATAAGTAGTATTTTTAAAAAATTTAATTGACTACAAGGCTACAAAGATTTATAATCAATTAAAAGTATTAATTAAAAAAATAAAATAAAAATTATTAGTCAATTAATTTTTAAATATTATTATTTCAAGATTTAATAACTTTGCCTCAATTTTTAACATCTTATGGCTACGTGATTTAGGTTGTCAAAATGACTTTTTGTTCGTTAACAGCTCGTGTTCGGCTCGTTAAGCAAACGAGCCGAACACACCCCTAGTCCTAAATTTACTTAATAATTGAATTAAAGTCGTCTCGCTTTTTTTAAAGAAGAAAAGAAAGAAATCTACCTCCTTTCTGGTTGTGTTACTTCGAAGCTCAATCTAGCACTCATCAGAGCACGCTCCAGCAGAGTCGAGGCCGATGGGTACCAGTGTTCGTTCAAGTTGTGGACTGTCAAAATTGGCTGTTGAAGGTGAAACAGGGTGTCAAATGTGATTCTCTGATCATTCGTCCAAGACATCGCCAAAATTAAAAACCCAAGACGAGCTTTACAATTTAAACGTTGAAGCTTCTGTTATTCCTTTACAGGAAGTTCAACTTAAAACAAAATCTAAGAAAAAAAATATTTCGTTACCTTGAAATATAAAAAATCATGCACATTTAAATGTGCTCATCGGTTGATTGTTCATCATTTATTTTAAGTTTTTTTGTGATTGCATTTTATTTTTTCCAATGTTTTTAATAGAGGATAATGAAAAAATATTTTTTTAATATAATAATTTATTAATTATGAAAAAATGTGTCCATAACATGTCATGTCATACTTTTTACAATTATGTTGTATAATTGTATTTGTCATATTATGTATATGTTCTCGTACATAGATCCATGCTTCATAGTTGTAGAGCTCATTTTTGGGTCACATGCAGTTTTCAGAGTCATATGGAGCTTCCGGAAAGATCACAGCATATTGTGGCCCTTCTTGGTCTGGTGTGGTCAAGCCAGGCCTGGGGTGTGCCAACGCCTCGGCATGGCCAAGCCCTCAATTCTGTTGACCGTATTTGTTAATGATCTGTAACTTTTGTCCACGGATCCTCATTCTGATCTTCCATTCAATCAGACAGTCGAAAACATCTGACAACCGTTAACGGTTGCGGAAACCGCCGGAACAATCAAGATCGTCGATCTCCCATCTAGTCGATGGCCCAGGATAGTTGCTACCGTCTATAAAAGGTGGATGTTAGTGCCTCCAAGAGTGGTTCTGAAAATCAAGTCAAAGTGCGCCTCGAAGTATCCCGAATATTTCTAACTCAAAATCTTCCTCCAGTTTTTTCCGACGAACCTTCTCCTCCTCTGGTCAGCCATCTCCTTTGTAAGTTTTTCTTTTCTATTTAATTAAGTATTTTAAGTTAAGTTTAAATTTAAGTGTTTAAGTTTAAGAGTAGGTTAGGTTAACTCAATAGCCATGAATTAGGCTTGAGTTAGGGTTTGACACAGGTCGACCCAAACCTGACCTAATCCTAATCCCTAAAATAGTTTAACCCAAATCTAAGCCAAACCTAACCCAGGTCTGGCCCAGCCCAGACCTGACCAAACCTAGAACTGACCTAGCTCAGGTATAGCCCAGCCTAACCCAAACGTAACCCAAGTTTGACCCAACTCGGACCTGACCTAACCTAGACCCGACCTAGCTCAGTTCTAACCCAACCTAACCCAAACCTAATCCAAATCTGACTTGACCCAACCTAGAACCGACTTAGCTCAGGTCTAGCCTAATCAAACCCAAAACCTAACCCAGATCTGACCGAACCCAGACGTGACCCAATCTAACATAAACCCTAAATCTAACCCAGGTATGACCCAACTCATACTTGACTCAGCATAACCTAACCCAAACCTAATCCAAGTTTGATCCAACCTAGACCCGACCCAATCTAGATCGGGCTTAGCTCAAGTATAACAACCTAACCTAACCCAACCCAAACCTGACCTGAGCTAGCTCATGTCTAGCCTAACTTAACCCAAACTTAATACAGGTCTGACCTAACCCACACCTGACCCAATCTAGACCAGATAAAGCCTGGGTCTAGCCTAACCTAACCCAAACCTACTTGGGTCAACCCAAGTCAACTCAGGTCAACCCAAATTAAACCCTAATATACCTGGGTCAGCCAAAGTAAGCCCAGGTCAATCCAAATCAAATCATAACCTACCCGGGTTAACTCAAATCAAACTCTAACCTACCCAGCTCAACCCAAGTCAAAATGGGTCAACCTAATCAAACTCTAATCTACTCAGATCAACTTAAGTCAATTCGGGTCAGCCAGAATCAAACCCAAACATACCTGGGTCAACCCAGATCAAACCCCAACCTTCCTTGGTCAACCTAAACCAAACCTTAATCTACTCGGGCCAACTCAGGTCAACCCACCCTCATAAATCCAAATCAAACTTTAAGCTACCCAGGTCAACCCAAGTCAACCCGAGTCAACCCAAATCAAATTCTAATCTACCCGAGTCAAGCTAAGTTAACATGCGCAATCCAAATCAAACCCTAACTTACTCGCGTCAACTCGACTCGACCTAAATCAAACTCTAATCTACTCTAGTCAACCTAAGTCAACCCAGAGCAACCCAAATTGAACCCCTAACCTACCAGAGTCAACCTAAGTCAACTCGGGTCAACCCCATATTTGACCCAAGCTTACCCATAACAATTCAACTTGACTCGGTTCAATCTTAAACTAATCCACATCTAACTTAGGTCAACCCAAGTTGACCTAGTTTAAAACTGAACTACCCTGAATCAGCCCAAGTCTAATCCAAGGCTATAATTAGGTCATTTTATGCATGTTTCCATGTTTTATGTTTGTTTTATCATATTTTTCCTTATTATGCATGTTTAATTACGTCTTTCATGTTTAAAAATAAATAAAAATAACAAAAAATAGAAAAAAAAAAACAAAAACAAACAATGGAAGCCCCTTTTCAAGTGATTTTCTTCTCAAACAAAAATATTAAAATAACATACCTTCAAACTTAGGAAATCCTGATTATCCAACATGACTTACAAGATTTAGG